CGGCACACGGCTCCCCCTGGGACCCCTTCCTGCGGATCGAGCAGGTGCGGATCCCCCGCGACACGCTGGTGGGGCGCAGCCGGCCCGGGCGCTACAGCCACATCCTGGATGACCTCTACAAGAGCAACGTGCTGCCCGCCACGGCGCGGCGCAGCCGGATCGGGGTGCTATACGCCCTGCAGCCCGATGGCACTGCCGACATGCACATCATCATCAACGGAGAGGACATGGGGCCCAGTGCCCGGCGCCTGCCCGCTGCCCGCCCGCTCTACGCCGTGGTCGACGTCTTCGCCTCCACCAAGAGCGTCCGGGTCATCCCAGTGGAGTATGGCTGTAGGTACCTGCCCTGCCGGGGCATGTCCTGCACGGGCCAGCAGCAGGGGGGGGATCCAGTGGGGTCAATCAGGATCCCCAATGATGGGAGCATCTGCACGTGCTGTGGGCAGAGGGACATGGAGCAAAGGGACACAGAGCAGAGGGGCACGGGGCAGAGGACTTCCCGTCGTGTTCAGCCTCGCCCCACGGCACACGGCAGCCGCAGCCAAGCAACCTCCTGCTTTGGTATCAAAACATCCGGCCGTGCCGCCCTGGCACTGCGCCTACCCCGGTGCCTGCTGCGTGTCCTGGCCACGGGGTGCCCAGACACCCCGTGATGCCACTGGAGGTTGGGCAATACCTGGCATCCCTCAGCCAGCTGGGGAGGGGCTGGGAAGGCTGGAGCTAGCCAGTAGCTCTTACAAGGAGTCAGGCTAATAAGGGCTAATTAGCACCATACCACAGATCAGCAGATGCCAAGGACTGGGTGAGGACAGCCAGGAGAGCAAGTGCCAGGGTGCTGGGGCACCAACTGCTCCTCTCACTGGTGCGAAGTTCAGCGGCTTCTGTCTCAAGGTTGGAATCCAGGACTCTCCCTGCCAGCTGCTGGGAGCCAGATTCTCCCAACAAAGAGGTTAAATGTGCCCAGGCCCCCAGCAGCGTGCCAAGGGTGACTGGCCACAGGGGCTGCTGAGCCCCTCTCAAAGCCTGGCCACCCCGTGCTGGCAGCACATACCTCTGGGTGAGCTGACCTTCCCTCTGCCCCACGGGCCGTGGGTCCTGGTGAGCACCGTGGCCAGCACCAGCACCACTGCTGGGGCACAATCTGGCCTCTTCCCCTCCACCAAGATTTCGGTAGCTCTGGTTTCTGCAGCACTTCTGTGGGGTTGAACAGCCAGGCTCAGTGCGGTCCTGACCCTGGCTGGGCTCCAGCTGGAGAAGTGAAACCCAGAAGTGAGTGGCTGTGCTGCAGTGACAGGCGGCGCGGGGGGACAGGCTGCACCAAGGGCGTCTGTGACCCGTCACCCAGCACCGCGCACGGTGGAGATAAGTGCTCCAGCCATCCCAAAACAGCCCCAAGGTCAGGAGCCAGCTGTGCTCAGCAGAGCCCAGCTCTGGCTCCAGCTCCCACCTGCAGCTTGGCTCGGGGTCTGTCACGCTCAGGGGGCTCCCCTCCGGTGTGGTGCTTGGATGCAGTGAGTGAACCAAGGCCCACTAACTGTGCCAGAGTTGGCTCTTTAAAACCTGAGAGCAGCAGCCATAGCTAATTGTGACCAAACAGGAGCAGGAACCAGGCAGAGCCATGGAATGGCTCAGGAGATGGTTGTTCCAGAGGCACGGCCAGAGCAGCCTCTGCAGCCAGCAGCCTGGCACTGGTGGGAGCAGACTAAGCGCAGCATGGGCACGTGAGACCCCGGGGGGCTGCTCAACGGCTCCCAGGGAAAACAATTGCAAAGCAGCTCAGTAACACAGGGCTTGGGCACACAACTGCCCTCCCAACCTTCTGCTGGGGAACAGGAGACCTTCGCCACACAAGGCCCTCCAGCTCCGGTCCCAGCCACAGCCTCAAGGCAGGATGATACCTGCTCCTGCCACAGGGCAAGCTCACCCACCACTGCCC